GCGTGTTGGAAACAACATCAAATGTATCCATACCTGGGCCATACCTATGATATAATACATTGCTGGAATTATGATTTGGACACAACCTGAACTGGCCAATTTGGAGTAAAAACAAGAAGGTAAATGAAGATTCACTATGCAATTACATTTCCATAGAAATATTAATAGATTATGTCTTCTCCACAGTAATGGAGGGAAGGTTTACTTCAATCAAATAAATTATCAAACAAAAAAAAACCATTGCAAAAAAGACAGGAAGAACAGCCACTGATGCAGATTGCTTCAAAATGTATCAGAATGGTCAAACAAGTAGCAACTTCAAATCTCAACAAACAAATGCTCTGTCTTACATACTGGCAAGAAAAATAAAAAAAACAAAAAAACCAAGTTGGATGAACAAGACCTTGTATATGACTCTCTTCTCTATCAAGGATTTCTCGTCTCTGATGATCTAAGTGCTAGAGTCCACTGTAACAACATTGCCAAAAAGGCATTAAGAGTTGTTAACCTAATCCTGTGAAGCTTTTTTCCAGTAATATTGTATTACTAACTAGAGCATAAAAAATATTTTCTACACCAATTCTTTTTTTTTTTTTGTAAGTTTTATTTGAGTTTTCACAAAAAGAAAAGAAATACAAGTAAAACATCTCTTTTGAAAGCAGCATAATCCCGGATTACATCTCTTCGTACAGACACAAATTCAAGTTCATGCTCATTTTTATATTCCATCCCATATCTTATTACTATTCTACATTTTCTACATAACTTCTCCCTTCTTTTAACTTTCTTTATTTTATTTTATTTATTTCATCTCAATTCAAAACATTGTAGTTATATTCTTTGTCTGTCCTGTTTCAACTATCTATTCATTTAAATCTTAACATTTTGCACATTACTCTTCAAATAAATAGCATACTTCTATGGGAACAATTATAAACTTTCCATAGTTAATTCCCCCCCCCTTCACTTATACCTTACAAAACATTGACTAATTAAAATGTTCCTGTTCCTTCCTAATTCAATTTTCTCATTTATTTTATTTCATTTATTTTATTCACAAACATTTCCCCAAACCACACCAACTACTTTATCCCTCTTTTTAATCATATGTTATTTCCAATTTTCTAAAATTATTTCTGTTACAAATATAACAATACAATCTTATGTACCTTCACAGAAACCCTTTTTCAGTTAGATTTTCACCCCTTATCTCTAAATAGGTCCTGTTTCTTCACATCTTGCTCCAAACCTTTGTAACTTCTCTTCCTTTCCTTCTTCCCTCTCTTCTTCTCTCTCCCCTTTTTACCCCCCTGTCTCTCCACCTCCATTTCCCCCTTCTGTATTTCCCTTTTCTGTTGCTTTCCAACATTATATCCACTTTTCAAATTATTTTTCCCTTCTTTGGCTGTTTTTTTAAGTCTTAAATTCTCCATTCTCTTTCCCCCCTTTCCCCTTTCTTCCCCACATAGAGTTACTTGTTCATTAAAGATGGCTTCTTCTTTGCCCCAGCCTTCTTGCTTTGCAGTCTTTTCTTGTTTCTCATAGTTGCAGATCTCCATTTCTAAGAATTGAAAAATGAAGCCAAAAGAGTCCTTCCCTTCTTGTGCATCTTCTTTGTATTTTTTAAGTTCCATTTTCAATTCATCTAGAAGTGGTGCCATTGTAAAAAAAAATTAAACAACCACCCAATTGGTTTTAGTCATTCAAATATAATAACCCAAAATCCAAAAGTCACCAGACACTCCAAATACATACAAGCTGTTTCTTTTTACACTTTCTTTTTTCTTTTTCACTTTCTCTTCTTGGGGTTACTATTTAGTTGCAAAATCTCAGTTAAAATGTATCTTTTAGAACTCTTGTTGAAGCTTTACTTTGGATTCTTTTGAAGTCCAGGCAGTCTCCTCCGTCCAGATCCTGCCCTTATTCTTTTCCTCTCCCTTTCTGCTTATAAAAGAAAAAGGTTTTAATGTCCAGAAATCTTTATTGTCCCTTTGGCATTTAGTTGTTTTTTCAGCTTAATTGCCTATTGATGCCAAAGCGGATTTTTCCGATTTCCCATTCCGATCCCTCAGCTGTCGATGCAAGGAAGGAGAGAGAAGAAAAAAAAAACTTTCCCTTTACACTTTTTTTCACTGCCTCCGACCTTCTCTGGGAGCGATGTTATCTTTTGTAAAATTCAAGTTCCGGGGTACCTTAATTGTTGTTTCTTTCAGCTTAACCCGGTCAGCCAAAAACTTTCACTTCTTATCTTCCTCCTGCACTTTCTTTTCCGGTTGAGTTCTTCTTTGAGGTGGCCATTTCTGACTGCCGTTCCTACCGCCTTTGGGAAAGGGAGTTTGGCCAGCTGAGGAGAGATGCACCTCTCCTCCACCCTGCTGCCAATCTCCCCCATCTTCACCACCTCTATGGGGTGGCTTAGCCCCAAAACCAGCTGGCTCAGGGCATCCAGCAGTGAGCCCAGGCAGAAACCGCACATGATCATGGATTCCTGTCTGTCGCCGAAGCCCTGCAAACCAGAACCCTAGACCAATTCTTGAATACAGCTCATTTGTCTGGAATCCACACTGCATATTGGACATTAATACAACCAAGAGAGTCCAGAAATATTTCACAAGAAGAGTCCTCCACTCTTCTACTCGCAACAGAATACCCTATGCCTCCAGACTTGAAATTTTAGGCTTAGATAACTTAGAACTAGGCCGCCTTCGATCTGACCTAAGCATAGTACACAAAATTATCCATTACAATGTCCTACCCATCAATGACTACTTCAGCTTCAACCTCAACAATACACAAGCGCACAATAGATACAAACTCAGGGTAAACTGCACCAAACTTGATTGCAGGAAATACGACTTCAGCAACAGAGTGGTCAATGCCTGGAATAGTCTTCCTGACTCTGTGGTTTCTTCCATTAACCTCAAACATTTTATCCTCAGATTGTCTACTGCTGATCTCACCCCATTCCTAAGAGGTCTGTAAGGGGTATGTATAAGCACACCAATGTGCCTACCATCCCTGTCTTAATATTCCCTTTTATTCGTATCTATTTCATGTATTAATAATCATGTTTATACTTATATACATTATCAAATGCATGCCTGACAAAATAAACAAATAAGTAAAGTGCAAGTTTAAGATTGGAACTTATTGAATGTGTAGGAAACAAAATAATACAATAAAAACAAGAATAGAATACTGGCAAGAAAAAGCATTATATGGTCAATTTCTATAAAAGATCAAGGAGAAAGTAGATTAAGATAAAATCTGCCAATGGCTTACAACTGGGACATTAAAAAAAGAAACTGAAGGAATGATTTTGGCTAAGAAATTGGGAGAGTTTGTTTATCGTCCATGACAATTTTTCAGGTCTATCCCCTTCACACACACACACACACAAAATTTTGTTCAGTCTTTCTTCAACATTAACTCTAAAGCAAAGAGTTATTTCCAGTCTACTAACAATAATAAATATTTGGAAAGTGTTAAATGTACTCACTGAGATTGTGATTGTCCTTTTTCACTCTCTCTTTTGTGATTCTGTGTGTATCTGGGATAGAAAGCAAAATCTATTTAAACAGGTTATAGATTACTCTATGCGAACAATACGTTTTTACAAACACTGCTTTTAAGAAAAGTTTACCATCTCACACTTCTTAATTTTTTTTGCTACTTGCTACTTCCTTACTTGTTGTTTACAATATGTGCTGAGTTTTTTTTTTTTTAACATCATGCATTTTTAATTTTTTAAATTCTGGGGAAGCAGTATCCAATTTGTTGTACTTTGCATTGTGGTGATAGAAAACTTTATAATACTTTAAAGTGAATTTGACTTCCTATTATTATCTTGCCAGGCATAATCAGATTTGTATGTTGGAGAAAGAGGAAGAAAAACATATCTTTGTTCCTTTAAGTTGCACTGATAAACTGCATGGTTGTTAACATTCTTTAGATTAATTGAATAAAAGTCTGAAAGATGTTAATTCATTAATGTGGTGAATGGCTGTATTGTGAACCTTTAAGAGAGTCACTTATGATGACCTGGAACAAATGTAATGGATGATAATTTATTTATATCATGGGCCAGAAGTCAAAATGTGTGCAGATCAATTATGTATCCTACAGTAATTGCAGCCATTAGCTGCATGTGTCTAGTTATAAGAACCAGCAAGGACTACCATGACTTTTACGTTAGGGATATTTACTTCAGAACAAATAGAGAAAAATGTTTTGAACCAGATCGTTTTGATTCAGGGAGATTACTAGTCATTTAGAAATAGAATGCTAAATGGCTAACAGTGTTCCTTACCTGTTCTCAACATTTCATAATAAACATTTCACTCATTATGAGTGAAAACAATCACATGGATGATTTAAAACCAGCTAATAAGGAATTAGAGAGTAGAACCAGTACACCATGAACGTGTCCAATGTGTATTTAAATCACTTCTATTATGTTTTCAATCTGCCTGGTTACATTTGTTCTACAAACAGACAGACACTTCAGCCTTTGTTTAAACAAGTTTTTAGTGTGCCAAAATCCCAAAGCTGTATTACCTATGAGTTCCCTTTTAACTGGCAAATTAGAAGGATAGGAAGAATTGGTAAGACCCATACTGGCAGCTGTCACTCCTTGGTCACTGTTGTATATATCCAGAATGCTACTTGAATGCTTTGAAAAACAGAGAGAGTGGAAGAAAAAGACATAAAATTAGATATAGGAGAATAAAAATAAATTCATGCTTTTGTCATAGGGAAAGCATATATCCACTTAAGAGCAAAATTCCATTTCAGATGCGTATTCATGTCTTAATCTCAATGGGAACTGCAAATGCTCATCTAAAAAGCATATTTTGCCTTTATCATCTATAAACTAAAATAAAATGTTAAGGGTCAAAATTGCCATTGTTCCATATGCGGAAACTACAAGGGGGTTGATTTGAGTTTTATATGCAGAATGATGCCTGTTATGGCCCCCGATGTCTAATTTTGAATTAATGCCATAGCATATTTTCCAATAACAGATTACTGTTACTACACTTCAAATATGAGTTAAGTTGAAAGGAAAATAACCTTGCTGATCTTACCTGAGACCCAAGTGAATTTTTAACTATATCCCTGAACTCAGTTCCTAAATTGTTTGTGCTTTGAGCAGCATATAAAAAAGATGCAGCTATGCAAAGCATCTTAAAATAGACCTGGATGAAGCATTGGAAACCATGTTATGGGCAATTGTCTTGCAAGAGCATTAGGAGACATTAGGAAGTTAATTTTCTATCTGCTTTGTAGACATAAATTTTATAATCTGCTATTTGATTATTCATTTCTGATCTTTAATATAAAATCCTTCTAAACATAAAATTAAGCTTGTATTTTGTTTGGATTTTTAAAATAACTTTTAAATTTGTAATGCCCTTGATTGATAGAACCTCATGCAAATGTGAACGGTTGGATTCATACAAAAAAACCCAGAAGTAACAGTTTTTTATGTCCATGCAATTTCCCCAAAATAGATACATACTACATGATTTGGAAATGGGACTGGATTCCGGGATTTTAACTTGCTAGATAATTGTCTGGCTACCCAGTGAACTTACAATCAACCTTCATATGCTCTTACCTAGTGTCCTACATAAAGTTTTAGTTTTATTAAGATTTTATGGCCCAAAGAGTGTGATTTTTATTCTTTTCAAGATCAGTGCACAACAACTGATTGTTTTGTCCTATTTGTTATATAGCTACATAGAACTCTTACAGAATACAAGTAAGAAGTTGTGTGTGTGTGAGAGAGAGATAGTAGTTAAGGCACCAGGCTAAAAACCAGAAGATGGTGAATTTTAGCTGGATGACCTTGGGCCACTCTTCCACACTCTTTAAGAAGTAAGTAACAGCAAACTGCTTGCCAAAGGACTTGTCCAATCAGTCACCAAAAGTCAAGACTAATTCAAAGGCATCAAAAAACACCAAATCAAATCAAATAAAAACTGTATGAGATATCAGAAAACAGATTAAACAAATCAAAATAAACAAATGTCTATCATAACCCATAATACTACTAAACTGGAGTATTTAACACTATGTCCAAAGTAAATGTAAATATAAAAACCATTTAACCCTGCCATTTTATCAGGTGCATTGGCAAGATCTGATGTTTTTATTAAATTGATAAAAACACTGTTGCACTGTGATATTTTGATGGATGCCTGTTTTTAGCAGCAGACTTTACACATGTATGTGTGAAGAAAGGTCCTTTTTTATCCCAACTTTGCTGAATCAGTTTCATTGGATGACCAGCAAATTCTTCCTTTATGCACAGATGCATTTCTGTCCTGGATTTGAAACATGCAGTTTTGTATATAATTTATTCAACAAATCTTGTCCATTATGTATCTTGATTCATCAGTTTTCAGTTTTGCTGTGATTTTTTTAGCAGATTTTTTTTTTTTTGAATCATTAAAAATCACCTGTTTTCATTCACAACTTTCACATATGGTCAATGTTCCTGACATATGCAAATTTTAACATAAATACTTACATAATCTTTTATGGATGCTAAACTTTGCCAAGTAAATTTCATAATAGAGATTTTAAATATTTTATATTTAATATTTAATATAAAATAAAATAAATATTTAAATATATAAATATTTAAACAATTAATCATCCTCCTTTTGTACAGGCAATATTTAAAATACTATTTTACAGTTGCAACTCTCAAATAACTGGTGGGGTAGTTTTTTTAATGCAAATATCAAACATATATCAATCTACATAGATCTATACCTGTAATAGAAAGTATGAATAGGCTTGGGGAATGAGGGAAAGAGATGCTGTTTTGGAAACCATCGGACAAGTGGGACAGGAGCCCCCAATAGCTTAAAGGTCAGAGGAAGAAATTTAGGAAAGGGCCACCCTAACGGATGAAGTCGTTAAAAATGGTGATGGAAACTAGTTTTATAAATACAACTTGCAAGCTTCTGTTACGGTAGCTTTACAATAAAGCAGAATTAGCTCATCTAATCTTGTTTCATGATTTTCCTGAGATGGCTAACAGTGCCCTAATCTAGGTAACACTTTTTCAGTACTGTACTTCAGTGTAAATTTAAATAAAGTGGAGAATCTTGGAAATTTTGATGGAATCAGGTGTAATGGATTAGCATACATTCCATCAGCTACATTAAGTATTGCCCTAAATTATCAATAATGTGTATAATATTGGGACACTAAAGCAATAAGGATAGTTATAAAATAAAAAGCAAATATGAAATTTTATGAAAGGAGAAAAGGATACAGTGACCATTAAGAAGGTAGTGCTGATTATAAAATTAACATTATCACTGGAAGGTTGATTTGTTAATAGCTACTGTACATATTAGAGTTTCACTAAATGTTTATCATACATTTGTGATGTATGGGCATGACATATTACAATGACATGAGTGGGCATGTCATTTAATGGGGTGAAAATTAATTTTTGATTTTTTTTCAGTGAGGGGTTGTAAAAATGTGTGTTTTTGTTCAAATCTGCTTTTATTTTTGCAGTTGCACAACATTTCGCTTGGCATGGTAAATCCACATCTGATCAAAAAAATTTCTTGTAACCCACCTTGTGCTACAAAAATTAAAGTTTTTTTCTGCATGAATCTTATCTAGCTAAGCAAAAAATAATCCATGAAATCATAACCTAACATTAGAAAGCAATTATCTGAATTACAAAAATATTTAAGTAACTTTCATTAAGTTAGTTTTTGCTCGTTCTTCAACATCAGCCACCAACTTGCTTCTTGGCCTCTGACATAACCCTCACATTTCTCATGTGTATACATTTTCTGCCTCTGTGACCGGTTTCACACATGTCTCTATTGGCCACTCTGGTTCTTGGCCCTGGTTCGTCAATTAACTTCTTTATTTCCTCTGTGGTCAGTTTGCATGTCAAAGATGGCTCATGTACATCTTCAGACCAGTGGCATTTTTCTTACGTGTACAAAAAAAAATCTCCCAGTGTGTCATCATCTGCACCTCTCAAGTCAATGATCTTTTGCACAACAGCTCTATAAGCCAGATCTCCAGCATGGGATACCTCTTTGATGCATTCTTGCTATTGGCTGCCACAGTAATGGGAAAGGCCATGGCATTTGGGTTGGGGAAGTGAGCTGGTGAGGTGAAGTCCCATGTGAACTAAAAGGAAGGTTTGCTTTCAAGAATTACTGCACCACTGAGTGGAGTTGTTTACAGCCTGTCAAGGCCAACCATCCTAGGACTCCAGATGGGTGAAATACCTGAAGATGAGCTTTATGCAACTTCATACTGGACATTGATTGGATACTCAGCAAGGAACCCTGGAGGAAGGGGTGTGTGGAAACTTTCAACCTGTAATTTTCACATGTTTTGAATGAGATCTTGCCTTGCTTTCACTGCTATCACTTAAAACTCAACACAAATACTCCTTCTCTATCTCAATGGAGTTGGGGTTTTCTTTCTTGGGTTTTGAATAGAGGCAGGGCTGACATCTCTCTTGAATATTATCTGAACACAAGAGTGCCTGGATTACCATTTCATTGAAAGCGTATCATGCTGAGTGCTGAATGGTTGGCAAAACAGCATCTACTATAGTCTGACTTGCTGCAGCTGAAATAACACATGACACAGGCCTTCAAACCAGGAATGTTTTACTTCGATATTGCTTAAGACAGAAAACGATTAACCAGATATCTTTAGACAATGCAACTGCAAAAACATGAAGAACTCCCTAACCAAATTAAATTTCCGATATGCTCCGGTACTAGCTAATTTAAATAATAAAACAGAGCATCACTTTGTATTTTATTTGATTGAAGTATGGACATTTTTGTATGTACCTCTGTTATATACAGTGAGGGTTAGGAGCTGATGATTTTTTTGTCATTCTTATTATTATCATCACCTTTTTTTTTTAAAGAATTGTCTTATTTTATTATTTTTATAAATAACTCAACAAGGTGGCAAATATATCCTTCTCCTATATTCCCCACATCAACAAACCTGTGAAGTGAGTTGGGCTGAGAGAAAATGGCTGGCCCAAATTTGTCCAGCTATGTTTCAGGCCTGAGGAGGGATATATATATATCAATGTGGCTCTTTTGGGCCCCTTAGCTTAATTTTACAAGGCTGTTTAGTGAAATAGGTAAGATGAACAAACAGTCTTTCAATAATTTTATGAAATCGCCCAAGTGACTTTAGTCTTCTGCATGTGTATATTTATCCTATTTAAAATATAAGAACTCTGCTGGATCAAGCCATAAATCCATCGACTGGAGCATTTTTATCACTGCAGCTGCTAGCCAGCAACCTATAAGACATTAATTCATTAGTGGTCTCTGCTTCTGTGCATATTGTAGCTATTATTAGTAGTAGCTATTGATATTCTTATTTGATCAAACCATGTAAACTGGTGGCTTTCACTATACCTTGAAATAACAAAACTGATAAAAGATAAAGTGTGTAAATAATTATTTCCTTTTGTTTGTCATGAAGAAGGATGATCATTGAGAGAATAGAAAATTACTCCTGGAATTTGAATTTGTCTTTTAAGGCTTTCTGATGTGCTATTCTGGAATATCATAGAGAATAAAGACACATCTTTTTCCCTGTGTCATCTTCATATATCGGAAGATTGCTACCATGTCTTCCTTT